TAGAATAGGTGTCCTTTGCGCCTTACCAATTGTCATCCAAATAATGCTTGCAAATAGCTTACGTTATTTGGGGCGCCGATCAACGCATTGTTTTGATCCGTTGAGCTTTTGAGCAACGTGAGGTTAGGCTGTCGCCGGTAGGTACTCACGTAAATCACAACGAAAGTTAACGTTACCGTCTAATGGGTTCCAGGGCATAGTTATATTCCAGGTAACTGTCATAGATTTAGCTGAGTCTCGATGTAAAGAGTCTCTGACTTCTTCAACCAGCAGACAAAAGTTGCGAAATATGAGACTGTAGAGAGATGAAACATAGAAAATGTTCTATGCGTATGCAATGCCTTGTAAAGGAAAATAATCGCAACTATCATTCACGGTTCGCTTGACGATGCCCTGGTTACATATGAAAATAGTTACACATATTAAAAAGTTTTAATTAAGGGATATGGCCACTGTAGAATTTTTTAAAAATCCTTTATTTCGCTTAAACTATACTTTGTTGTCATAAAAGTATATATGTAGTAAGCTTTAAATGCGTTTTTATCAAAGCTACTTTCGCCCAATTGGCCAGAGAAATAAATTTTAAATTTTTTATTCGAATTTTGAAATTATCTTTAGAATTGAATTTCGCATTGAAGTACGTAGGGAAATTTCGATTCATGGAAACTTTTTTATGGCCAGTTTATTACGAAATTATTGACTAAATTTAATTTTTCTGTTCCAATGCCTATCACTTTTGAATTAATCAATATAAAAAAATTTTTCCTACGTACTTCTATGGATATTCTCATGTATATGGGCGACGGGTTTTTTTGTTTTGCTCTAGCATGACAATTGTGGATGCTAAATGTCTCGCCGCAGCGCGCTTAAAAAAACGATCAAAGCGACATCGCACGATTTGTTTATTACATTCAAAATTAACCAAAAATAATATTTTTTTTCATCAGCTTGAGGTTCAAACTTGATAAGTATTTTATTAGTTCTGTGAATAAATGATGATATCACGAAAAAAAATTAATGAATCTGCATGTGATTTTATGCCGGCTACAGTGGTCATACGGCTTAATGAACTTCATTTAGAGCACAGGATAGTACATCGTACATGGTAGTGTGAGGGGATTTAGATCAGTAAAAAAGTTCAAGGACCCTTGATGTCATATTTATATCATAGCCACCCTGGCCATCCTAGACTAGAATTTGGTTGTTTAACTTATATTTGTTTGCCTTTAACGATAATTCTTAAGCATCTCAGTCATTACATCAGCGACTTATCCACAAATTCGCTTTGGAATTTGTAATAGGATAATTCATACTTAAATTTAAGCACTCACAATCCGCTACATTTTACACAGTAGTTAGTATGGCCTATGGGTTTAATGTGCAACGGAAACCGCAGACCATTTGGAAACCGGCACACAACATATTCCAGCCAGAAGAACTAATGACTATGGTCTACCGACAACTATCAAATGTTACGACAACAATTGTAAAAACAAAACCCCAGCTACTCGCTAGTCAGCTGCAATGATAATGCCGGCAATATAACGGTATATAACAGTGTCAGCAGCAGTAGAGTAACAGCGGTACGACATTAAGAAAATGCGGTTAATTTGCCTTAATGTCGGCAAAACTAGAGTATTGCCATTGAAGAGTGGTGAAAGAGAGCTAGAGAGGAAGAGCGCGATGAGGGCGAGGCAGTGGTTGTGCCGCAAAACTGACTTTCCCGCTATGCATTTACGCGCCATAATGAGCGTTATAACTCCTTCAAAGTAGCTATGCAAAAAGTGTTAAACATCGGCTGAGAAAATGTAGATTCAACAACAGTGAGAGTGTTAAAAAATAAAGCAATGCACCAATAATGGCGCAACTAACAGCGATACAAAAGTCATGCTACGAGTACAACGATGAGCAGCGAAATGATGGGTGGGTTGAGATGGAAGGTAGCTGCGCCGAAAATTCAAGAATTTCACTACCGTCGCCCCACACCGGCTTACAAGAAAGGAAATCCCACGTAATGACCGTAATAATCGCAGTTAATTAGTCGACGACTACGACGACGATGACTATGCAACAAATAACAGGCAAGCAATAGCAACAACAATAATAATGTATAGAGTGTACCACCAACAAACAGTTGTTGCTGACTGTCGAACGGAAATGGCAACACAACTGCTGAGATAACACATTTTGTCGGTAACGGCTTTTTAACGGCGACTAGTACGCGCCGTTCCGCATGCAACCGTGTGTAGTTTGCATATCGGAACCCACACTACAGCCGCCATATAACTCTTTCCTTCTTTTCGCTTAAATGGTTAGATAGTTAATGGTTGATTGTTGCCAAAACGTTTGCTGTCAGTATTGTCTGTGCCTGGTTGTTGTTATTTCGCTATTTTCGGGTTAAAATCGTGCACTCGCTAAGACTAGATTCATTAATAAGCGTATCGAAGGGCGAAGGGGTTATGCCAAATGGCGCTGTCGATCGTTGATTGCCACAATTTCGCTATGCCCGCCCATCAGCTACGGAGTCTATGCAAATGTGTGCGTGCGCCGACATCACAAATGCTAAGGAAAGGTGAAAAAGTTTCATGGGCGTAAAAATATTCGATGTTATCTACAATGTGGTGTTGTCCGGAATGCAAAGTCATTATTTTGCAATTCGCCACAGTTTGGAGGAAGCAGCTGTAGAGTGAAGAGTTACTTAAAGAGTAAGAAACGCAGAAAAAGAGAAGGTAGATAACTATAAAGCACATTTACAATATTTCGAGCCATTCTTCTTTAAACAACAAAAGGTGTACCATAAACTATGCAAAAGATTTGAAGATGAGGAACTAGAAGCAATACTTGCTAAACACAAGAAGAGCTCGCTGAATCTTTGGGAGTCACTCAAACAACCGTTTGAAAATTTTTAAAAGCAGCTGGACATAATCAAAAGCAAGGCAATCGGGTGCCGTAAGATATGAAGCAATGAGACGTTGAGAGACGATTTTATATTTCAGAAATGGTGCTTGAACTCTATAAAAAAGAGTCCGTTTTGCGTCAAATTGAGACTGATGATCCATGACTACAATCCTAAAAGCAAAATTTTATATGTGAAACAACCAACCGGAAAACCGAATATCCACGAAGTCAAGGTAATGTTTTGTATTTGTTGGAATTAGAAGGGCGTGATGTATTTTGAGCTTCTAAAACAGGGTGAAACTATTAATGAGAAACGCTACTGAGAACAACTCATCAAATTATTAGTCATCTTATATCCCAGAAATCCCGCTTCTGATTACCATTTGTTCCGGTCGATGCAGAACACCCTGACTAGAGTACGATTCAAATTAGAACAGGGTATCAAAAATAGGCTTCATTCAAACTTCTTTTGGGATTAAATCTACAAATCTACTTAAAATCTACAAATTGCCGGAAAGATTAAAAATGTCTAGTTATAGACTCAATATAAACAAAAACATCATCTACAAAATAAGAAACGGGGACCGCTTGACAAACAGATGCATTTTTTTTTTTTTTTTTGTATAAATCGTATATTTCTAAAAAATAGAGTGTTTCTTTCTCAATAGAGTAGTCTGCTTGTAGCTAGATACGACGATTTTCAGCTAAATTAATTTTTTGGAAACGAAAGAGTTTCTTGAAGCCATCAAAGTATTTTTTGGTTCCACAAAATTCAAAAATATTTATATCCTTGATCTGGTTTGATAGAAAACATTCATAATTTTTATTGCATTCTGGTTTCAAATGTATCATGCAGAGTTCACGCTTCGTTCACATTTTTTAAAAAAAGTGTCTAGACTAATTTTGGAGAAATCTCTAATGTGACGCTTTTACAAGAGTACTAGTTAGTTCCTGTTGGTTTTAAAGTTAAAATAAGCTTTAAAGGAGAATAAGACGCTTACTTATTAAATACTAGGTCTCAACACCGTCAGCACCTCAGACGCCGAAGCCTGGCATAACTGCTTATGATAATTAAGAATGTGCAATTTTATTTGTTTTGTCAGTGAGTGCAGACAAAATGCTAATGCTTTTCATTACTGCCACAGTCGTAAGCCCGTTTGTGGTTTTAAAAGCCAAAAATGTGCACCAGACAGCCTTCACCTCACCGCTAAGCTTTGCAACCACCACTTTCTCCCGTAAAAGTCAAATTACTTGTCGTAGACTGGAACTCCTTCCGGCCGCTAGGATTGTCTTCTTTACTACAACACGCTAATAAAGTGTTCATTTATTTCTGGTGTTATTATCATTGTTGTTGTAATAACCCTTTTGTGAGCGTAGATAATTTGGTGGCTAGTCTGGAGATGCGAGTACAAGTCGTAAAAGTTATCACGCAGGCTTAGCGCCAATATAAGACGCTATACTTCAATGAAGTGTACAAAGACCGTTACATACAACAACAATATGCGCGATAATCGTTAAGTTCAGTGCTTTTGTACATATTACTGTTAGTCTAGTGACGTGAATGGCTGCGGGACATTACCGTTATGGCTAAAGCGATTATGGTCGTCTATTAAAAATTTGCTATGAACATTGAACGTCCTCTTAGTTATATATGTTAAATGTGACTGATGAATAGTCGAAATGGGATAAGAAGAGTGAACAATAACTGTTAGTGGTTGCGTTTTGTAAAATGTTTTGAAATGAGGTTAGTTTTTGGTTAAATCTAATTAATGTTTTTATACACATTTTTTAAATTTCAATTGTATTTTATGCTAATCAGATATTTTTGTTCGGTGCACTTATACTATTTTTTATTCATAAATTCTTTTTATAAATTTTATGTTAAAAAATAAATGTATGTCGTGTATTTTTGCAAAGAATAATGCTTCAATTCGCGGTGCATATTGAAAAATCCCAGATTTGCGAGGATTATTGCCACACTCTCGGAAAATCTGGAAGGCAACGGTTCGGTCATACATAAGATACTAGTTAATGATAAAAATGTACGACATTGTGCAGAAGGACTATTGAAGGACAATAAAATTGCCAATACTTACACTTACCTCGGAAATTCCTTGCGTTAATGCAGGTGTGATCATTTAAAAAAGATCCAAGGGATTGAGTCAGCGCAAATGAGAGGCGACATCTATGCGTAATTAGCAATATGAAGGGCTGCTGCTAGTGCTTTAACACTATCGTCACACAAACTAAATACTACACTTTGCACTCTTTACACCGAATTATATATATGTTTATATTTTTTACAATACACTTTGCACTCTTTACACAACATTTTATATATTTTTTATTAATTTTTATAATACAAGACTTAACACGTTTTTTCACAAAAAATTTAATTAACACTTTTTATTAATTTTTACAAGCCATAAAAAATAATAACACTGAGAGTTAGCTGTTTTGCACTATTTTTTTTGGAAGACCTTGTTTCATTGAAAACGATACTTTCATCACTTTTTTAATAAAATCTATTTTTTTACTACACTAAACAATTTTTACACTAAATTTTATAAATTTTTTTTTACTTTTCTATTTTTTACTTACATTTAGCACTATTCACATAAAACTTTTTTCTTTCAAAGTCACCACTATATTTCTGATTCTAATTTTCTTTCCACCACTGTGGTGACGATTTTTCCATTTTAAACAATGAACAACGAAAGCCTAAGCTGCGCACTTCCTTTACACGCTTCTACTTTTGCCTTTAAAGCAATTGCTTGTGAACATTTTCATAACACGGCGCATGCTTTTTCGCAACCAATACACAATTAATACAATGATCTTTCGATTAACACACTTTTTACACAATTTTCACACATTTGATATATTTAAAATGGTATAAATTCGTATGTACAATTCACCGAACCCATACGAGCCAACAACTGATTTAGTACTAATTGATAATTCGTTAATTTTTAACTCGTTCTTTCGTATGAGTGATCGGATGCTGTTGAGTGATGTTGCCATCATGTCCTTAAAGTTTTCGGTACAATCTGAGTGTTTATGAAATAATATTTAAATTAGGTTAAATTAAAACTAAATGAAAAATGATGTTAAAATTATATTAAAATTAAATTAAATTAAATTAAATTAAATTAAAATTAAAATTAAAATTAAAATTAAAATTAAAATTAAGATTAAAATTAAAATTAAAATTAAAATTAAAATTAAAATTAAAATTAAATTTATAATTAATACTAAAATTGAAATTAAAATTAAAATTATAATTAAAATTAATATTAAAATTAAAATTAAAACTATATTCGAAATTAAAATGGGTATTAAAAAAAAATCGAAATTAAAATTAATATTAGATTAAAATTTAAATTCAAATTGAAAAGTAAAATTAAAACTTGATTAATATTCAAATTGAAACTAAAATCGAAATTAAAATTGAAATTAATATTAAAAATATATTTAAAATTAAAAGTAAAATTAAACTCAAGCCTAAGATTCAAATTCAAAATGAAGTTAAAATTAAATTCAAATTGAAATCAAAAAGTAAAATTAAAATTTTATATAAAATTAAAATTAAAATTAAAATAAAATTTAAAATTAAACTTAAACTTAAAATTAAAAATTAAATTAACACTAAATCATGACTAAATTAGAATTAATTGATTTTAAATTCAATTACATTCTGCAAATAAAAACAAAATTCAATTATTTTAAATCTTATTTCAAATCAATCTAAATTAAGTTCAAACTTCATTAATTTAAGTAAATAAAGTTAATCTAATATAATATTAAAAAATGCAGATTAACCGAAAGTTTGCCATTTCTAAAAAAATATACTGAAAACTTCTCACTTTAACAATTTAATGAGAATATTTGTGTAGTCATTCCAATATTAAGCTTAAAACATAGTGTTTTCAGCTAAAAATTCGAAACAAGACCATTCTCACTTAATTTTGATTTAAAGTACATGAGAGTATTATTACTTTTAGGCGCATAATTTTACCAGTTACTTGTAAACCCCATACATTTTTGCTTATTATATAATTTTTATATAACAATAGCATTAGGAATCTATTTTAGTTAGTTGTGTGTTTACATTATTATCATATATTATTTTATGCTTTTTGTATTCGATAAATTTTCAATTTCATTATCCTTTTTCTTTAATTTTATTATTTCTTTTATATACATACATATACATACATGTACATACATATCTTACTTTTTTTTTTTAAGTATACCCTCATTTTTTTTAATAATTACCGAAAATTGTCTTCGGCAGTCACTCGCACAAAATGCACATCACATTCACAAAATGTCACATCACTGAAACAGCCGATGCACGAGTGCAGTAAATTCTTTCCAAAGTGCAACTGCAAAGAAGATGATTGTGCGGGAAAGCATAAGTGTGCTTTTATAAATTAATAATTCTTTAAAAATAATAAATCGCATAGTGTTACGTGCAGTGTTCGTTTTTGCATAAACATGTTTAATTTAGTTTGCATGTGCAAAAGTAAAATAAAATTTATTCGTCGGTTCATTGCATGCATGTTAGAACATGAGTGTTGGTATAACTGAGAGTGTTATGTTTGTTTTTTGTTTGTTGCTCAAAGCATAGTATGTGCATACAAACAACAATGTAAAGTGAATACAATTTGAAGTGAAGTGCATAGTTGTCGGAGAAACTCTTTGATTGAAGAGTAGGTGAGTGTTTAGAAATGCTTTTGTATTGATTTTAAAGTAAAGCAACGATAATACTTATAAAAATATTTAGTTTACTGATAATTGCGGCCGTAAATATAAAGTAATGTGTTATTATAATAAAATTATAATGATTGTCATATTTAACTGGATGTTGTATGTATGTACATACATATATTCTGAATGTGTAAAAATCTGCTTCATAAAATGTTCTAAAAATTTTTAAAACATGTTTCCAGCGCAAATTTAAAGCAATATCGTTTTTTTTTTTTAAATTAAAGTGCATGTAAAATCAGCCATCAATTTGTGGTAAAAAAGTTTCAATTAATTGTAGTGTTTTCCAAAGCAAGTGTAATCAATTTGCAACTCCACTCAATGTTCAAGTAATTTGCGGTTAATTGACGTAAATATAACTTTTACATAGCATTTCAACCTATGAGATTGCGGCTATATTAAATTATGCCTCAAATTATAATGTAATAATAAATTAAGAAATCTCACATACACAAGCACCAAGCTAAACAATCGCACATAAAGTTTCGCCAATTAATTTAAATACACAGGTAACAAGCAAATATGGTGCATACAAATATACATATGCATATACATACATATGTATATATTGAATACTGTTGCATAACACGCCACAAACTGTTTTACAATCGCTATTGTTTCGACTATTTGCAATATTGTTGTTGTGCTATTAATTTGCATGCACACATACATACAAACAAATAAGCATTGCATGTTGCTGCAATGTCTTCTTTCCGTACAATTAGCCGTAAAACATAATAATTATAAACGAGATTAAATTAGCTGTGTTTGTTGCCGCAAATTATGCAAATACTAGAGCAGGAACAACTTATTTCTACAAGTGCGTACGCATATGCATAAGCACCCCAGTTATGAATGTGAGCCTTGTATGGCAGTGGTACGACATGCTGCTTCCAACAGCGCGGCAAAAGCGGCACAAACTAGCGGCTATTGTAATTACAACTTCCGTTGTCCGCAACGGTGCTAACCAAGGGCGATTCTAACATCATTATAATACACGGAAATGGATATACATAAATATAAGTACATATATATATATATGTAAATATGTGCGTGTGTCTATACATGTAGTTAAGTGCATATTCAATAGGCAAGCAGGCATACAAAAGCATGTCGACCTGTCTGTCCGCTCGAGTAGGTCTTCCGTTTGGCGCACTTCCCCCAATGCGGGTCAATTGCATTTACTGGAAAATATGTATGCATGTAGGGCTGCGTATGTGTGTATAGGCGTGCAGTTAATTCTATTAAAATGCCATTCCCGCACCTGCTGTCGCCAACCCACTCTCATATGCTCTGCCTTACATGCCAGCTAGCTGACCAGTTTCAGCTGATCCTGGCGCGTTGCAGCTGGGGCCATACAAACAAAGCCGACTGAAGTGATGAGTGCGTGTTAATGTGTGTCATTACGTGTGTCGCGTGTTAAGCAAACAGAAAGGCGTGTAGCAGCGAGCGTCCTTGTTTGCATTTGCACATGCCGCGCGCCTCTCAGCCCCCGCAACATTCTTACTTTCAGGGCTAATACGTAGCTGCACTGGTGAGTGTAGTATGTGGCGCATGCTTGGCAGTGGGTTGAGCGGCTGCAAGTGGTAATTATACTCAGTAGATGTTTATGTGTATTTGTGCCTGCATTTAAGTGCAGTTTCGCCATGAATTGTTAATCATAAAAGGGTTAATTAACTTAACAATACAATTTACTTATAGGGATATAGGAAGTCTAATGATTCAATATGAATATGCACTTATGCATATATTAATAATATTTGTAACCCACTGAACCAAAAATTTTGATAGTTTCTTAGCTAAATATTTTAAAAACAAATTTTATTATTTTTAGGAAAATAATTTTCTAATGAAATGAATGGGAAACCGGTATGAAATTATTATTTATATGTTTATTTTTATTGAACCAATGGGTTTTGTAGAATTCTCTTTTATAAAATGACACATTTTTGGTATTTTAAAGATTCTTAAGGCGCACAACTAGTGTGACAACAGCCTGAAAAGGCGATATTTGCGAATTAAAAAAAAACTACTGTATCAATTGCTTTATAATTTTAAAGGTATATATATACATATTTTAAGAATCACAGTAAAACTTAAAAAAAAATAAATTAGATATTTTTTGAGTTAGGCAATATCTCCTCTTCTGCTGCAGTGATTCCATCTTACTCCGTGGATAAAATCGGAAAAATTTGACTAAATAGCGGCGTTAAAAAATTTAAAATTTTTATCGTTTAAAATATAAAAATGTAGCAAAATTTGAATTTTTTACCACTACTGCAACTTCGGAATTTTTCTATTAGGCGTTCAATTCCAATTAACGATCTATAATTTTTACGAGTTATTAAGTGGTAATATAACCTTCTTTCGCTTCAAATACTTTTAGCACCAAAATATCGGTAGTTGAAGTAATGATTTATAGGAAATGTGACATATTCACAGATCTTGCTGGAACCACGTTCCGCGATCTTTGACTTAGCGATTGAAGTTATGAAGTGCGGTCTTCTACTAATTTTAAAGTCAAGGAGATCTCAATATTGCAGATGCGCTTTCTTTTGATGATCTTGCAATTTTTCGAGTCATGCACTCGCAGTCCCGTATTAATTTAATTAGAGTAATCCTCATGCTTAACCTTAAAAACCTCATTAATATTCAAGTTTTTGTTCATAAATTTAAATCAGTACTTTGTAGATCAATTTCCACTATCAAATGTTTAACTTTCGAATAATTGAGGGCTAATATTTTTGAGAGCCTATAATCTTCACACGAATTTCAAGAGCAAATTTCAAGAGCAGTTTCTCTGTTCGAAATCGTCCATTTATCTGTATATACGCAAACTAATCTTTCAATGTTTGAGATATCGATCTGAAATTTTGCACACGTAATCTTATCCACAAAAAGCTGCTTATTTGTTGGAATTACCGATATCGGATCTATATAGCATATAGCTACCATACAAACTGACCGATCTAAATCAAGATAGATATTTTTATCCCCTTTTTTGCTATAAGAAATGCACCTGAGAAGGGTAAAATTTTTTTCATCTAAAACGGCTTAACTCGAGTTAATTTTGAGCTGCTTATTACTGCTTTCAATCGGTTACTCTTTCCTCTACAAAAAGCTAAAGATTAATCTACGCAATGAGTCCAGCACCAAAGTTCATGGGTTTCTAATTGAGCAGCGCCAGTTCACTTAAAGCCATCGATATGCGTAGTTAAGTGAATTTGAAGGCGTTGAGGGGCTGATTTAATTGTTGTATTTAGTTACACAGAGCCATGGGCGAACAGGACGAGCAACAGGACAAATACAGTTAACTATATGTGGACATACATAAGGGTATATGAGTGTAGATGGGACTTGATATGGGGCTGACTTGCTGTGATATGCACCCACGCAAGTAAATTTAGACAATAACTCGTATATATATGTATGTATGTCTGTATATATGTTTGTGTGTATCATCCACTCACCTTACTCAGCGCCTACGCTTGGTCTTTGCCACATACGCTTAACATTAAGTAGTCCACAATTTCCATTTGTATCAATTAACAAAAGGGTTAATTTATGGTCCGAACAAGGGCGCTAGCCGCATGCGCACACATACATACAAACACTGTAGGCCATGCGAAAAACAACAACAAGCAGCATAACAATAGTCAGCTCAGAAACAATAGAACAGTGGACTTGTCGGACTTACTAGCCGCTGGCCGCCCGTACACTTGTTGGTCGCTGCCTCCTTCCTCGTTCATTTGTTGTTACACCTTGGTATAGCCTCAGGTCAGCACATGCCGCATACGCCTCCCAATCACCTAAATGTAGCACTCCTGCCATCGTAAAGAGTGTTGCATATTGCGCCCATTCAACTTTCACCTTTCGTCATGTAAGTGATACGGCGGTTAGACGGTTGTGTGTATATGCGTGTAACCGGAAAGGACTGCATGAGCAACGCTGGTCAGCGCAATGCAGGGAGGGCGCTTGTAGTGAGCGATACTCGTGTGCACGATAGGGAGGTGTGTGATGTGCTAACAGCGCATTTCAGCAGGTTTTACCTGCCTGTTGGTTAGCGAAGTGCCATGGATGACTTGCATTGTTTGTGGCGGCAAAGTAGTGAGAGTCGTAGCATACTTGCAGGCGTATTTTCTGACATTTTTTCAATGTTTGTATTGCGGTTGTTGCAGGCAGCATGCAGTTGCAATGTGAAGCCATGTGTGTGTGTGTGTCTATGTGCAAAGCGTTGCCTTCACTTGACGTGTTGCATAAGCTTTTACTGCTCGCTTCTTTTTGTCACTTATTCAAACGTATTGCCACAGCTGCTGGGTGTAAATACATAAAAGTCGGTGAGTGAGTGAAAAACTTGAAATGCGAAAATTTTTCACCGTTGCATTTCGATTGTTTTACATGTGTCGACATTTATTGCTGCATGTTGCCTTGCCCATGTTACGTGCCTTTTGCCACCACAGAATCACTGTAAGTGTCGTTTGCTGGCTGTGAATGCAATAAATCTTTTAGCGACAGCATGTGGCATGCCGCATGACTGCATAAATGTTGCAGTGAGTGAGTGAGTGCGCGAATGTGTAAAAGAATGACTTTCTTTCGACATAAAAAACTTTTCTAAACGACATTTTATCAGCTTTCTCACACCAACCCCCACCACCCGCCTTTAACCCACTCGAGCTCATATGCATATCGCACGCTAGTTAAAGCGCCTTTGTTGTCTTATCTGCCACACATGTCGCACTTTGAAGTCATAAATTGAGGGATGTTGCTTGGTAGATAGCATGCCACACATGCACACACATATGTGTATACATACACATATGCATTTATATTTTTGCGCTCGCGAGCATGTGACAGCCACTTGACTAATGTGGCACATATTTTATGCGCGCTTTTTAAGTGGTAAACACAGATTGGTGGCGCATAAAAACCGGTTGCAGAAATCTTTTTTC